GCCCGTCTAACTGCCCCGAAAGAGGACAGTGAGAGGATCCTCGCTCCCCATGAGAATGATGTGGGTTCCAGTCCCCACCAGTGGGCTTCATATCTAGCTTCATCCACTGCCCTCTTGTCAGTGGAGGCTGCCTGTGCTGTGAATCCTGGACAGGTTTCTGTGTAATTTCCAGACTGATACAGACTAGGGAGAAAAGATCTCCTGAATGTCAGCCAGTGAAAAGCCTGTTGCTCACAGGAGCCCTGGCTGTACATGGTCATGGGCCTGGGGTAGGACTGAGCCATGCTGTGCTCTGTTCTGCCTGGGGTTGCTATACCAGGGCAGCTGACGGCTGTGCTTCCTAGAGAAGCTTGCTTGGCCTCACGGAGCCTCATGTCCTTGTCTGTGAAAGGGGGTTAATGAGAGCATCTCTTCAGAGAGCTGGTGAGGTTGAACAAACTGCATGTGATTCCATCAGAACACTTTGGGCAGTGCCCTTGAAATGCTTAGGGGTTATTATTCTCCTTGGAGCTCTGTAGGGGAGCGATGGTGGGTGTTTGGTGGTGGAGATGGTAAGGAGAAACTCCGTTGGCCCGGCTGGAGGAGGGCTAGATTCAGAGACTGGTCAGGGTGGTCCCTGTTTTTGTGGAATGTGTGGGAGACTGGTTTGTAAACAGATAATCACCAGATGTGATAAAAGCCACAGTGATACTTAATTAGCCTTTTTGGGGGTTTGTTTTGATTTTTGTTTTTCTTACTTTGTTCTGTCATAACTGTTATTCTTAATGACCATTTCTCGGTGGGTGTTCTCCAAGGCTTGTTCCTGCAATCATGTGAATTGGTTTCCTGGTTCAAGTCAACAACGCTTGCCTCCCTTCATTGGCTTTGTTCCTGCTCCATGTTGCGCCCTCCTTCATGTCCCCTTTCCTTGACCCATCCCGGACCCTCAGCAGTTTGCAGTGGCCGCTTCAGAAGGAGAATAGCTCAGAAACGGCAGACAGTGGCGACTCAGGAATGTTGGGGGGGCCTCAGGCGTTACTTGTCTGAGCATCAAACTTCTGTGTTATCTAGGGGTTAAAAGAAAAATGGAGATCAATGAGTAAGAATATGAAATGGATTGTTCTGTGTTGTTTAGAAGTGAGACAGTGAGACCCTTGACCACTGAGGGAAAGAGTTTGAAATTCCAGTTCATTTTCTTGGAAGTTGTGAGGTGTTCATCCTTTAGTCAAACTATAGCCACTTGGCTGAATCTTAAAGCTAAGGACTTTCTGGTACCCCTGGGAGGTTTAAGAGACAAAGTTCTTGCCCCTAAAATTTCTCCCATCAGTGACTCTTTGTGCTGAAAAACAGTCTGTGTCATGATGCATTTTCTTCCCACCCCTCATTTCAGTGGTTAAATTAAACCTCTTTTTAAGTCTTGGTGAAAATTATACCATAATGTTTTGATTCTGGGAAGAAACTCTGAGCACTTGAGAAGAACTATGGGTGGGAAGTTGTTCACACTGCAGCCGTAAATCCTCTAGCGGAAAGACAAGTCCATCGGGAGTACCGCCTTGGAGGGCAACTTGCCTTGGAGTTCTGGGAGTCATGGGAGCCGAGCTGACCTTGGCCAAGACCTGGCGCCGTCTCTGTGTTCTGTCTGGTTGTCTGGTTCTCTCTTTTACAAGATCTCCAAAAGCTTGTAGGGGAGCCCTGTGGCTTTCCTCGTGGCTCTGTAGCCGAGCAACCCAGAATTGCTTTCAAGAGTGAGAAGGCATTAACTGAAAGGGCACACTTGTAAGCTGACTCTTAGGCAGGCGTTCCCTGTTTGTTTGCTGAGGTGCAGGGCGTGCGGAAGCCAGTCAGGGCCAGGAAGGCAAGAGGAGATACCCCTCAGTTATTTATTCATTAACTTAAGATTTTATTTCCCCCCCCCAAAAGCTGTATGTGCATACAGTAACAAAATGGGAAAAAAAATAAAATTCAAAGAGTACACAGTAAAAAGTCAACCACTGTCTCTCTGCCCTTCAGCTCAAGCCCTGGCTCGACTGGATCTCTTTCCCCAAGGCTGCTCCCAGTCTGCACAGTGCATGACCTTCCTAAGAGAATTCCTGCTTCTGGGAATGTCCCTGTCTCTCCTCTCCAGCCCCCTTTACACACGCAGCACTCTGCGCCCTATACCCATCCTACCAGTGCTTTTCCCCTCAATCCTGGATCAGAGGTCATTTCAGACCTCCTTGTTACTGATGTAGTGTAGAATTCCTTGTGTGGCTGTACCATCGTTTGTTTAATGTGGTTTTTCCCTTGTATTACTACAAACAACACTGCAATAAATCTTTGTGTCCTTTGTGAACATACATACAGAATAAACAGCAGACATGGATAATCTGGGCCACATGTGCTCAGGGTTTGGTGGACATTGCCAAGTTGCCTTCCAGCTCACTTTTTTGAATGGTCAGACCAGGAGAGGACCGAAGAGGTGATGTGTGACACCAGCCTGGGGTTCCTCAGTGTGAGTGGCAATGCAGGAGCCAGAAGCAGGCTTTGCCTCCAGGCCCAGCCCTCTTCTGGGATCCAGCCTGCTCTTCTCAGCTGGTGGCTCCAGTCCTCCTGGCCCTCTAAGCCTCCAGTCCTGTCTCCTTCTCGACTGACCCCATCAATCTCTCACTCCAGCTCCCCAGCCTGTTCCTACAAACTCATTTCATTGTTGGACTTGATTTCTTCCTGCGTCCTCAGACCTCTTTCAGGAACCCAGGGATACCCCCAGCTTCCAGGGCTGGGACTTTCCCCCTAGATGAACATAGGATTGCTGGGCTGGCCATCCTCTCGTGGCCACCCCTGCTGCTGTGCCCCTCTCCCCCACACGCTTTCCCCCATGCCCTTCTCCCGACGGTGGCTGGAACGCTTTCTATAGCACCCACTTCCATTCTGGCCAGTCCTGCTCTAGACTTCCCTTGGCCACAGTGACCCTTTCCAGTCTCCTTGAACGGCCTCCCAGGCCTTGTGTGCCCTCCAGGCTCCTTTCCCTGGGCCGCTGCCCTCCCTACACATACAAACCTGTCCTCCTGGTTCTGTTCACGGTGTTCACCCAGCAGAGACTACCAGGATACCTGCTCGCCCTCAGTCTTGTTTCTGTAAATGTCTGGCAGAGTCCCCAGAGAGTGAGCCCCAGTCTATTTGTGTCCTCTGTGCATGCAAGAGGCTGGGTGCCTGTGAGCTCTTAAGAGGTCCCAGGTGTGAGCCCCTGGGCTGGCTGTGCTGTGGGGCGGGGTGGAGTGGGGGGGGCACATCCTCACACCCTCCCGTGTAGTCTCCTGGAGAAGTGCTGAGAAGGGTGGGGTAGCCCTTGGAGTTCCTGGGCCTGATGACAGTGCTTGGGCCTATCTGTGGGTCTTGGACCCCGTCTTGGATACTCTCCGACCTCCCAGCCCTTTTAATCAAAAGCTTTTGGGCCAGAAGAGCTTGTGGCCACCAACTCCACGAGAGGAGATGTCATCAGTTGTTGAGAGCTGGCGAACCCGTGCTTTTGGGGCGGGCAGCTGGCTTCCTGGCCAGCTGGGTGTCTGTTCTGGAGGGCTGCCACCACATGAGGGAGTGCTGCTGATATAGCACGGGCCCTGCTCCACAGTGTCAGAGAGAGGGGCCTCTGCGCCTAGAGTGCCCTGCCCTGCAGTCAGCACCACCCCCAGGCCTGAGAAGCCTGGGATCTGGCAGCACTGGGTCTGTGTTAGCACTGCTCCCCTGGGCAGTGGGGATAAGGCAGCACTACCCCTCCCTCCGCTCTTTGCTTTGGACATGCCCTCAAGGCATACAACTGTTCAGTTTGGAGATAACCAGGGGAAAGCCAGAGCTTAAGGTTGTGGTCCTCCTGGAGCCAGTGTTGCAGGAGAGATAGTGTGCAGACCCCGTGGATTTGCCTCGAGCAGAGCAGCCGAGGCCAGCTGTGTTCACAGGGCCAGGCCTGGGTGACCTTTGACTGTTTCCAGAAATCAAGGCCACTCTCAGAGGGTGAAAATGTTCTACCTCTGAGAACATTTGAAAGAAAGTGATGACAGCATTTTGATCACCCTTGACCAGTGACAAGGCTAGAATGATGACCCAGATGGCCCAGCCCTCACGGCAGCGCGCTCCTCTTGGGCCACTGGGACATAAGAGGTCAACTTCAAGCTCACTCACCCCTTTGCACATATGCCTCATTCAAGGCCATGGCCTCCATCTGGAGAGATGAGAATGAATCAGAGAGCTCTTTTAAAGTACTTGTAAGTTCTACCACTTGTGTGTTGTTGTGTTGTGACCTCTTTCCTACAAGGACACTTGGGCTCTGACAAGAAGTGACTCACAAGGACACATAACCTGTTGGTGTAAAGTCAGGAGTTGAACTTCCGAAGCTGGGCTTCTTTTTCTACCTTTTACTGCAGTTTCTTGAAGACAAGTGAAATCACCCAGCGTATACTGGGGTTACCAGTGACTTCAGAGGTGCCCAGCTTGACCTTTCAGAACACTGAGCCTTGGGTGGGATAAAAGATCCTGCAGTTAAGTGTAATTGTTTGAATCCTAGCCATTTGGAGTCACAGAAAAGGGGGGGCAGGGGTGGAAGCAGTATCAGATTACACAGTAAGCTAGCTCAGCACACACTGACTTGAGCTCACTTACTAATCTCTTCTTGTTATTAGGTGCCGTTGAGTCGAGTACAGCTCACAGCAACCCCGTGAACAACTACTAATCTGTAGTTAACAACTTACGTTTAAAAAAAAATCATATCAGAGATCTCCTTATGACTTGTGTCTCTCGCATCCCCATGACGATTCTGCAGAATCAAAACCTCTTTTCAAATTTACAGTCGTGCAGGGCTGAGTAGCCAGTGAGCAGTGTAGGCACTGGCTTACCTGTGAATCTGTAGTGAACATGGTTTTCACCGTAACGTGGCCTTTCTTACCTTGCCCCGGGGCGGAAGGATTGAAGGCAGGACAGAAAGTGCCAGGTGGTTTAGGGCCAGATGAACCCACAGCATTTATCACACCCATGTTTCCTTTTATTTCAGATGTTTTCAAGTCAGCAAATATTTATTGAGCATCTACTGTGTACAAGGTACAGTTCTGGGCTCTTGGTGGGGTGGGCTTGAGAGACAGAAGTGAATGAATCACACGGCACACTCGCTGCCCGGGGGCTTGTTCCCAGCAGAAAGGCCAGCACATGGGGATGGCACAGGGCTGCAGAGGCAGCGGTGAGGTGCCCAGGAGGGCCTCAGCACGAGGGCCCGTGAGTCTGTGTGGAGCCCCAGCAGCAGTGGGTCCCTGGGTGAGAGCAGGCTCCGGAGAACAAGTCCTAGGGCTTTGGGCTGAGGTGTGGGAAAGGGCTCCTGGCAGGTGGCTGTGGTGGGGCTGCAGTACTCTCTTGGTTTAACCCTTGCCCACAGGTGTGGGCTCCTGAAAGGAGAACCCCCCCTAGGGTTTGGCCCCCAGCTCCTGACCATCCACTGAGCACTCCTAGTTGGCCTGTCTGTCTGCATGTGACACTGGCAGTCTGGGATCTAGCCTCACCTTAGACTTAGGAGATCCTGTGTGTGTGTGGGGGGCATCTTCCTGTAACAGGCCCACGCCTTGCCTGGCCTGCATGTAACTCTGGCCACCAGGCCAGCTCTTGGGCTGAAGGTGGCAGGCAGGGGAGGTTTGCTGCCATCTGGTGGGGAGGGCTTTGGCTAAACCCTGTCTTCTCTCATTAGTCGAAGGACCCTAACCCTCTGGTGCCATCTTTCAGTTCTTGGTGGACAGGGAGGGCCCAGATTAGATTAGAGAAACTTGGTCTCAGACAGCCCTTCTAACTGATCAGGGTCTTCAGACCTAAAAGGACTGCTTCTCAGCACCCACTCCCTATTCCCCTGAAAGGACACGGCCCAGCCTGATCTTGTTACTAGATGGGAATGTGTCTGATTGGCTTTAACTTTTATAGCTGTGGAGACAGAGAGCACTTTTAAGTAACAGTCAGGCACGCTGTGTCCTGAATAAACCTGTGGACCCTCCTACCATGTCCAGGTCAGAGCTGGGCTGACACTCAGCTCCCACCCTCCACTCCCTGCCCATCTGTGTCGTGCTGAGACCCCAGGTGTCCCTGCCGAGCAGCTGCCCCTCCACTACTGAAACCTGGCAGCCAGTGGGGCTGGGCTCAGGCCTTGGTCTGCTCTGGCAAATACTCTCATCACTCTCTCCCCCCCTGGAGATGAACATCTGCAACAAGCCCTCCAACAAGACAGCCCCTGAGAAGAGCGTGTGGACGGCACCTGCGCCGGCCAGCGGCCCCTCCCCGGAGCTGCAGGGCCAGCGGTCCCGAAGGAACGGGTGGAGTTGGCCCCCTCACCCACTCCAGATTGTGGCCTGGCTGCTGTACCTCTTCTTTGCTGTCATCGGCTTCGGGGTCCTCGTGCCCCTCCTGCCTCACCACTGGGTGCCTGCTGGCTACGCTGTATCCTTGGGAGAATGATGGGCTGGCAGGGCTTGGTTCTGAGGCTGGGGCCCGAGCTCACAAGGCACAGGCGGGGAGGGCCAGGCCAGGTCCTGACTCCGCCATGTGAACTAGCAGCAGCTCCCCACCTGCCTGGCCGCCAGCACCCCCTGACTCCTCTACACCTGCCGCTCCCGTGAGGTGAGCAAACAGACCAGGAGAACCTTGGAGCCTCAGAGCCTCACACAGATGTGGTTCTTACCAGCCGAGGTGCCACAAGTCCTCTGGCAGAGGAAGAGGGCCCTCAAGCTGCCTTTTGGCTAATTGTATCCAGAGCTGAACAAAGGATTTATTTGGGAGTAATTATTCCATTTATGAAAGAATTTTTCACTTTTCAAAGAGAGTCACAGTAGAATTCTCTCACGTAGGAAGTTACTGGCACATCTAAAATGTGGTTTTATTTATGAGCAGATTATTACAGGCTTATTTGGGAACACATTGGTTTTGTAACTCACACTCTCTTAGAGTGAGTTGGACATGGTCTGAAGCCAAGATAGGGGTGCCCTGGAGGCCTGCGAACAGGGGCAAACTCAGTTTTCACAGTCCTGGCCAGAATCTCCCTCCCCCAGAGCAGAGAGCTGGCGGCAGGGCCAGGGGACAGGAGAGTAGCAGGCAGCTCTGTGGTCCTTGTCCAGAGGGGCCGCTGAGTGCGCCCTGGCAAGTGTGTGCCGTGGAGAGGATTCCCTGGAAGGAGGATGAGGGCCAGCCATGGGGCTCAGCATGGGTGTGGTTGAAAGCCTGGGGCATGGAGTCAGCTGAGCTTGAGCGCAAATCCTCAGCCCCAGTACCAGCCTTCCTCACAAGGAGAGCTCCTCCCTGTTTCCCAGGTGGGCACGAAAAGCATATAAGGCTACGTGTGTGTGCATGTGTGTGCATGCAGACACCTGAATACACGGGCCCTGAAAAAAGCACGCTTTTCAGGAAAACTGCGGAGCGCTGGGCTGGTGGATGACAGGGCAGGGCTGTGGAGAAGGCCCCTGAGGAGAGATGGCTCGTGGACTCAGACACTGGCAGGGTCACTGGGACTCCAGGGTTCGCCAGGACCCAGAGTTACCAGTTTTAGGAATGAAAATCCAGGCTTTCCCTAAGGGATTTACAGGCGTTCACACTGGTAAGTAGAATGTTCCAGGGCACTTTCCTTCTCTGACCAGGAGTGGACACACCACCCACTCAGGGTTACCTGGGTTTCAGCTGGGAGGGCAGCTGGGAACCAGAGTGACACACTGGTGGTTTGCAGGGACTGGAATCAGAGCCAGTCACAGTAACTAGCATTTACTGAGCGTGTCTAGGGGCTGGGAAGTCCCTGGGTGGTACATAAAGTTAATATGCTCAGCTCCTCCCTGAAAGTTGGTGTTTCAAGTCCATGCAGAGGCCCTTTGAAATAAAGTGTAGGTATATGCTCGTTTTTAAAAGGTGAACCATTGAAAATCTTCTGGAGCACAGTTGCCCTGTAACACACAAAGGTGTGCCGGGAGTCAGGATTGACTGGAAAGCCACTGCTTGGTTTTGTTTATAGGTGCCAGGCCCTGAGTGTTGCCTGGACAACCTGAAGAAGATGTAGGGTGACTTTGAGGGGTTTGTCTTCTCCACATCCGGTGGCTGTCTGCTTTGTGTAGGGAGTTTATAGCGCCCCAAATCTGGCACCCCATTCTCAGGCCTGCTTAGTTCTTTCTTTCTCCTCTGGAAGCCTTGCTCTTTCTGCAAACTCCCCAAACCCTTCAGGGATGATGTAAGGTGGTAGTGAGTACCAGGTACCCTAAGGATGACAAGACAGAGCCCAGCTTGGGCTGCTTAGTGTCCAGTCAGCAAGAGACTTGTGACAGGGTGTGAAGGACTGGCCTGTAACATTCACCATGGAGATAGGGAGGTCAGTGCTGGGCATGCTGGGCCGTGACGATGCCCTGTCAGCTGCGGTCCAGCGCTGTAGGGCAGAGCCTGTCTCATGCTAGGGGCATCTGGCTGCTGGGAGTTGGGGGAAGGGAGGAGAGGGAATGGCTGATGGACAGTGGATGAATGATGGAAGGACAACAGAGGATAGAAGGATGTTGGGGCCTCATGGATGGATGGATGGATGGTAAGATGGCTGCCTGGGTGGAACCTGTTGGTGGGATTTTTATGTACTCAGACTTTGCTGCAAGTTGGCAGCACACTTATCTCCAGTGTTTGGCCCAATCACAGAGCAGTTGTTAGGTGCCATCAACTTGACTAGGACTCATAGCAACTCTGTGAGCAACAGATCAGACTTTGCCCAGTGATTACCATGCTCTATCCCTGCCCTGCTCAAGCCCATTCCTGCAGTTATTTTATCTGTCCATCTCCTGGAGCCTCCACTTCTCTTTCTCTGACTCTGTCTTTCCCAGCATGATGTCTTTTCCCAAGGAATGGTCCCTCCTGACAATGTATTGAAAGTATTCACGACTCAGTTTCATCGTTCTTGCCTCTTAATGAACACCCTGCTTACACTTCCTTCAAGATCAATTTAGTGTTTTTTGATAGTTCATGGTATATTCAGTACTTTTAGCCAACACGACAGTTAAAAGTAATTAGATTTTTCTTTGGTCTTCCATATTAACTGTCCAACTTTCAGATGCATAGCAAGCAATTGAAAATACTATGGGTTGGATCTGGCACACCTTAGTCTTGAAAATGACATCCTTGCTCTTTAGCATTTTGGAGAAGTCATTGACAGCACATTTTCCCAATGCAACACATCTTTTGACTCCTTGATTGCTGCTAACATGAGTATTGAGTGTGGATCCAAGTAAAATGAAATAGTTAACAGCTTCAATCTCTCATGATGCTGTATTTTCGTCCTGTGGTGAGGAATTTTGATTCCTCAATGTTCTGGTATAATCTACATTGAAGACTGTAGTCTTTGATCTTCTGCAGTGTTTCAAGTCTTCCTCAATTTCTGCAAGTAATGTTGTATCGTCTTTGTAACACAAGTGGTAGATAAGTCTTCCTCCAGGCCCGATACCACATTCTTTTTCATAGAGATGATCTTCTCTAATTAATTGAGCAGACAGAGTGCAGGAATTAGCCATACTGCCCCTGGTCAGGCTATGAACACGTCAAGTCATCCCAGACTTCAAATTCCCAGCCCAGGGCTTTGAATGCCTGGACTCCAGGTGGGGAGGCAGCAGGTGTGTGAGCCTCTGTCAGATGCAGGTGAGTCTCCTGGCCCAGCTGCTGAGAGAGCAGTTTCCCTTCTTTGAGTTGACTTCCCATGAAAGCAACATAAACAAGCTTAGAATGTAAACTTTAGGTCTCTGGACCGTAGGAGCTGAGCTCTGCCAGTCTCACTTTGCCACTAAGAATCTGAAAGCAGGGGCCCTGGTGGCCTAGTGGCAAGAAGCTGTGCTTCAGTCCCTTAGGCATGCAGTTCAAATCCACCAGATGCTCCGCTGGAGAAGGAGGGACAGTCTCCTTCTGTACCATTCGGATCTGACTTGACGGTACACACACACACACACACACACAGAGAGAACCCAAAACACACCAATAAATAAAAATAATTTTAAAAAATTGTTAATAATGAAAAAATTAAAAAAGAATCTGAAAGCAGACCAAATGGATCATGGCCAGGTCAAAAGCACCAGATTCCCCTGTCTTCTCCCATGCTGAGCACAGGGCAGGAAGAAGTGACAGGGGCAGAAGAGAGAGCTAGTTATGGGATATTTAATGGAGAACAATTCTCAGGACACAGGAAGCCGAAGTGGGGTTCCCAGCCAGCAGAGTGTGGAAAGTCCTTAACCTGATGGGCCAGTGTATGGGTGCCATCTTCGCCGGCCACCTCGTGGTGCACCTGACGGCTGTCTCCATCGACCCAGCAGATGCCAACGTGCGGGACAAGAGCTACACAGGCCCCCTGCCCATTTTCAACCGTAGCAAGCATGCTCACGTCATTGAAGACCTGCACTGCAACCTGTGTGACGTGGACGTGTGAGTGCACGTGGCCTGGGGGATGTGCAGGCAGTGTCTGGGACTCAAGACAGAGGGGCGTGCTTGAGGCTTCACAGTCACGTGGTTGCCTCAGAACCCTCCTGTAGTCAAGAAGCTCGATGGACTGGCAGAGAACTGGTGGATGAGGTGATTGGAAATAGGTGTGGAGTAGCATTTCCAACAGAGTTCACGTTTGCCACCACTGCAGACATTTCTAATGGCTGTGCCAGTGACATGCCTCCTGTCCCTGTCCCTGCATTTCTTATAAACCTCCCCACATAGGGTTGGGAAGCAGGTTAGTACTGAAATAGTCACATATGACCACTAAGCAAGGTGTGCAGCATCTCCGGCACTCCCTAGAAAGGTGAGAGGCCTGTCTGAAGCCTTGCAGTGACTTGTGTAGTAGATCCTGGATTTACAGCCCAGGCTGCCCTGCCTGGCCGCCAAGCCAGTACTGTCAACCGAGTTTACTTAGAAGGAGTTTGAGGCCCTGAGAGGCCAACTGACTTCCTTCAGGTCACACAGCTGGTAAGGAGAGGAGTAAAACTGCAGAGCGCATGTACACCCTTTGCTGGCCCAGACTGCTTCTCTAGGGCTCGCCCCAATCTCCTGGATCTTCAGAGGTAAGGGATAGGGGTATGATCCAAGGCCAGCTCCATACGAATCCAGAGACCCAGCCAGCCCGTGGTGGGGGGTCTGTGTAGGCAGGAGAAAGCCACGGGCATTCCAGTGCTGACTAAGGACCCAGCATCAACCGGTCTGGTCACTAGGCATCAGTCTGTATTGTGTGCTGATGGCTGCTCTGAGGGCTCTGCCCAATCTAAGGCTCCAGACCCCAGCCCTTCTAGCAAGGAGGACTGTGTCCTCTGTCCTGCACTCCCTCAAGCCTTCCCATAGTCCCTCCCAAGGTGGGAGACTCACCTGCCTCCTCTGCGTGGCCCCTCACTCACCCTGCCCCTGCAGTGAGGTGCCCTCAAACTTCCATACCAATGTCCACTTGCTCCCTTTGTTTTAGTCCAGACAGACTGAGGTTTCTAGAGGAAATGCCATTTTTGGTAGAACAGCTGACAAATGAAGATTCAAAGAACGGCCATGCCAGGAGCCAGGCAGGCTCCGTCCCCTCAGCCTGGCCCTCTGCTCTCTGGCTCCTCAGGGGACTTTTCTTGGAAAGGAAACCCCTTTTCTGATACACTGCCCTCTTCACCACCGCTGGGTTGTGCAGTCCCCTGGGCAGGGCAGTGTAATGACCCTCACTCCCCTCCTGCCCCTCCAGTCCCCTGGGGACACAAACAGAAGCACCACCACCTTTCTGTGCCTTACCCCGCAGTGCCACCAGAGGGGGCACATATGCATGGGTGTGAGCTCTGCAGAGTGGTGCCAGGTGGCAACCCTGTGCCAGGGGCTCTTGGTGCACACCCCAACCTCACACCCTCACCCCAAACCCCTACTCCTGTTCCACCCCCCCACCTCACCTTCAGATCACCACTGGCCAGGTGAGCCCACCAACCTTGCTGTACCCCTCCCCCCGTAGGAGCGCTCGCTCCAAGCACTGCAGCGCCTGCAACAAGTGTGTGTGCGGCTTTGACCACCATTGCAAGTGGCTCAACAACTGCGTGGGCGAGAGGAACTACCGGTGAGAGTGGGCAGACTGGGGGCCTGGGGTCTGATCTGGGGACCTTGTCACCTGCCGCAAGGGGCTTCATCTCTGGGAGTGACGTTCCTAATGGGTGCTGGCTGAGACAGCATAGGGTAGGTTTGGGGGTTTTCACTTTGCTGACCCAGGCATAGGCAAGGGCCCTTCTAGGGTGGCCACCCATCGTCAGCTTTGCCAAGTGCCTTTGGCTTCCTGAAGAGCTGGGCTGTGGGCTTAGAAACCAGCTCCCCAGACCAGTGTGACCCTTTTGTGCGTGAGGCCCTTGGCACAGTGGAGCACAGGGTGCTGACAGCTGCCCGGTGGGGCGCGGGGGCCCAGGCTCTTTCTCCACAGTGTGGCGTCGGCCTTGCTGGGCGTCCTGCTCCTCGTGCTGGTGGCCACCTATGTCTTTGTGGAGTTCTTTGTCAACCCCATGCGGCTGCGCACCAACCGCCACTATGAAGGTCAGTCAGGGCTCAGGTCTGTGCCCACACCCCCAGGCCTGTCCCAGCCACGGTCCCTGCCCCGGCTGAGTGCTGTCTCTGTCTGTGCCCCACAGTCCTGAAGAATCACACGGATGTGTGGTTTGTGTTCCTGCCCGCGGCCCCAGTGGAGACCCAGGCTCCGGCAATCCTGGCCCTGGCTGCCCTCCTCATCCTCCTGGGCCTGCTCTCCACAGCCCTGCTTGGCCACCTGCTTTGCTTCCACATCTATCTCAGTAAGTGCCCCCACCTCTATCTCGTAAGTGTACACACTGCCCTGCTGGAAGGTTCCATTGGCTGTAGAAGCCACACACACCCCACTTCGCAGTGCTCACCAGGACCCTGGTTTCGGCCTGGAGCTAGGTTCCCCCTTCTCTTCTCACCACCACACTGAGCCCTCTCCTCCCATCCTCCATCCTCAGTGTGGCACAAGCTCACCACCTATGAGTACATCGTGCAGCACCGTCCACCACAGGAGGCCAAGGAGGCCCACAAGGAGCTGGAGTCGTGTCCCCGCAAGATGCGGTCCATACAGGTATAGATGTGACCCAGGGGGATGAGCGGGTGGGCAACGAGGTCCATGGCTTGGAGGTGTGGTGAGCCATGCAGCAAGTAGCCAGTCTGGAGGCAGAGCCTAGAGAGGCAAGCCTGGACCAGTAGGCCACTAGGGGGCAGGAGAGCAAAGCCAAGTGTAGACTGAGCATGTGCTCAATCAAGTGGAGGCAAAGCCAGGGGAGTCCTGCATTCTGGACCCCACGTACTGTCCATCCAGGCAGCCTCCCCGCAGGTGCGGAGGGGTGTGGAGAGTGAGAGCCAGGAAGCAGGCAGGTGAGGCTGCAGGAGGAGGGGGAATGATGGACTAGCCACAAGGCTATCAAGTGGCTACCCAGATGGGGCCATCCATTCTCCATCTGTGATGTGAGCCCTTCCACCAGCTACTGTGATTCATTCTTAGAAAAACCTGTAAGGCAGGGACCAGTACCACACCCATGTTGCAGATGAGCATATTGAGGTCTTGGAACTATGTTTCCAAGTTCTGAACCAGGAGCTACTATCTCAACCCCAGCTCAGGCCTTGGCCTGCCCAGCTCAGCTGCTGGCCAGCTCATCCCCATTCCCACGCCCCGTGACTTCCTGAGGTCAACAGCTGGGGGTGGGGGGGTTCAGTCCTTGGAGCCCCCAGGGACTGGGAAGGCAGGGGGCCCAGGCAGGACTTGCTGGGAAGGCTGAGCCCTGGCTCCTGAGTCTTCATGGCAACTACACACAAACACGCTGGTGGGCGGATGGGGGAGGGCTGGGCCCAGCCTCTCCTGTTCCTGTTGCCAGGGCTTGACCCTGCCTATACACCAAGCTGCCAGAGCAGTGCTCCAGGGCAGCCCGGAATGGAGGTGGAGGGGTGCAGGGTGGCCCGGGGTGGAGGTGGAGGGGTGCAAACCCTGCCCCTCCCCCAGTGTGCCCACCCTGGTGCTGGGCACTGAGCTTGTGTGAGCACAGCAGTGGCTATAGTGGGGCGTGTACCTGCCCACAGCACAGAGGAGCCAGGGAACTGGGCAGGGCACTTGGGCAAGGCTTCATAGCCTTGAGATGCCCAGAGGTGTCTCTAGCTTATCCTACACAGATTGCCTTGATTTAGGGGCCAGATGTGCCAGAAGCAGGGTGTTTAGCTTCTGCCCTCTGTTCATCTGCAGCTGGCCTGAGAGAGGCCTATGCAGAGGGGAGGAGGGTGTGATTGCCCACTTGACAGGTGTAGCTGAGGTGGGTTTGCTGTGGTACCATTCAGGAATGTGTACATTGCTAAACTTCTCTTAGAGGGGATCCTAGGGACAGCTGTGCTGTGAAGGAGTTGAGTGGAGAGACTTGCCTCGATGGCTAGGACCTGGCACCTGTCCCATCCGTCTGCTGCTGCCCGCTCTCTGCGTCACCCTTACAGGGTGGGTCCAGGAGCACCAGGGTCACTGTGCCCCCGAGTGCTGGGCCCTGGAGGGTGCAGGTCCACATGGGGAAGACAGAATTGGGGACGGTACCTTCACTTCCCAGGAGTCCTGACCTGCCCCTTGGCCCTTCCTTGCTTGCAGAGCTCCTCTGCTCAGGATGGCACCCCACACCCTCCCCAGAGGGCCAGGCTGGGCATATGCTTGCCCAGGGCTTCAGTCTCTGCGTCTGTGCGACCAGCCATTGGCCAGCTGGGCGCTGTCCCCTAGATACGGCCTCCTCCCCACCCCCACCCTCAGCAGGAATGCGGGAGGGGCCCCTCTCTGGAGCCGTTGCCCCCAAACATAAGCTTGTTTTAGTGACGGCGTTGCTACTACAGTGTCCTCTGTGCATTAGTCAGGACGCCTCATTCTCCATGGAAACAGTTGCTGAGGGAGCGACAGCTGTCCCTGCACCCCTCCCCCCAGTGCACAGGAACAGGCCGGCAGGCGGGGCCACCTGGAAGGGGCGGGGCCACAGTCCTGGCTCCGCCCCACAGCCTCTGTGCAGCCTCCTTCCTGGCTTTGGGCTTTTTCTGGCTTCTGTGTCCTCACCTGCAGAGCTTGGGGACCTCGCTGGGGCCTGTCCTGCATGCTGAGGTACAGGCCCAGGCTGCATGACTTGACTTAGGGACCACAATTGCCAGCAGCAGAGACAATTTCTGCTCACCTATCCAACTGCAGATTACCTGAGGATGCCTGCCCCAGGGTGGGCAGGGTGTTGCTTGCCCTGTTTTACCCACAGTTCAGGCCTCAGGCTTCTTCAGTTTGAGGGGCTGGAACAGCCACTCTCAAGGTTGCCAGGAGGGGAGCGATTTCACAAGACTCAGCTCACTGATAAGCTAGGTCATATCCCCTTTAGGGGTTGAAGTGGGGAAGACCTGGGTACCCCTGCCCAAAATCATTGTTCACTTTCTGTGAGGGTGAAAAGTGTACTCAGGCCTCAGCTTGAAGGGAGTCTGTGAATGGTTGGCCAGCTCCTAGCCCCAGAGAAAAATTGATCTCAGTGACTGGAGTTCTAGAAGGGGCTCTTCCCCTGCTCCCACCACTGCGTAGTGCAATTTCAGACGGAGTACTGACCATGAGACACTGGGGGTTTCCTGGAGGAAGTGGGGTTTCATTAGCTAAAACGAAGACTGTGGGGACATTGGAAGGTCAGAAATCGACGTTTTGAGCCTCGGTTCTTTGAAGCAAGAGGGTTTAAGGGGGACAGTTCTCATTCTGTTTCCTTCCACAGAACAGTAGGATCGCTAGAGCTGATGTCACACAGTAGTAGTAACTCAATATCACTTTCCCTCCTCTTGCTCTCACCAGACCACATGTGATCCTTCCTAATGTTTCTTATCAATTTCAATACATACATACACGATCAGTTAGTTGCACATTGCTTAAATACTTGGTAGATCATATGAATTCTAAAGATAACATTTTATATAATCTTTCGAGATTGAATTATATTATTACTAACAGAGCAGAAGCCTTTTTTCTTGTTCTCCTTTTCCTTTAATTACTTTATTCTCAAAACAGTCACTGTATAGGTTCAGAAATACTAATTAGCACAATATTGTAGCTAAAACACTAGAAAATGTGATAGTCTGTAAAACAACAGCTTGCACTTGTAGCTTGTGCAGATGAAACCTCGTGTTCTGAGCCTCTCTGTACTTGGGCAGTATTGAGAGCTTTAATTCTGGCTTTTACAGAGTTCAGATAGTAAACTGGCCTGCAGGTTTTGCCGTGTGGGTAAACTAGGCTTAAGAAAATAGTTTTTAGGGAGCTCTGGTGGCCTAGTAGCAAGAAACTGCACTGCAATCCCAGAGGTACGCAGTTCAAATCCACCAGATGCTCTGCTGGAGAAGGAGGGTCAATCTCCTCCTGTGCCAGTCAGATCTGATTTGATGGTACACACACACACAAAAAATAAAGATTAAAAAAAATAGTTTTTATTGTTAAAACTAATCACAGGGTCATTTTTCTTTTTTTAGCATTAGACTTGATTTCTCTTAAGCTTTATCCACACATCGATCTTGGACCAACCTTAAACCACAGGGAAATTTTTTTACTAAAAAGAGTTTCTGCCGAAACACAAAAATGTAGACAGTCATTTGACCGTCTTGCCCTCTGACAGTGTCACCTGATTGGATCCCTCTGATATCGCTACCACAGAGGCCAATGCAAGCATGCCAGGATCTGGCTGGGCTGGGTACCTAGGGGACCCTGCATCCATCCTGGCCTCCTGGCCCCTGATCCCTCTCTTCCCCAGGAGATGGAGTTTTACGTGCGAAATCTGAGCCATGTGCGTCCGGATCCCCCTGGGCAGGCCAGGCCTGCAGCGGTGAATGTCGAGTGAGTTCAGCTGGGCATCTCTCATTAGCACGGCTGGGACCGTGGTGGGTGCAAGGGGGAGTCCAAGGTGGGTGAGGGGAGCTCTTACCTTCCTCCTTCTCCCTCAGCTCCACCCAGTTCTTTGCCACCAGTGGCCACAGGGAGCCCGCACCTTCGTCCTCCCCAGAGGCCCTGGCGTTGCCACCCCGGATCCGACCACAGGTAGGAGGGACCATGCTGAGCCCCCCCCCAAGGTGCGGCTGGATAACCGCACCCAGTCTCCTACCCAGCTGCTGCTTTCTAGCTATGTAGGGGGTCAGGGGAGGGCAACCCAATCCCCCCCTCTTTCAATGCAGAAAAAGAGAAAGCGGCGCGTGTATAAAGTTCCGATCTCTGGGACCCTGGACCTAGCACCTGCACGGCCTCGGTTGCCAGGTGAGCGCCTGGTCTCTCCAGTTCCCACCCCGGGAGCTCGAAGGAGGGAAGGCTGGAGCCCGGCACGAGCCCCAGCCCGGTCTCGCTCTCCTCGCCCCGCAGGCTCCCGGGCGTCGGGCCGCCGTTCCAGCTCCTCGTCGGATTCCACAGGCGCCAGCCCAGTGCGCGCCGCGGGGCCCGCAGGCGCCTATCACTCGGCCTCGGCCGAGTCCATGGACGAGATTCCGGTGGCGCAGACGCGCCTGGGCAGCGCCGCCCTGGCTGTGCCCGGGGCCCGGAGCCGCGAGCTGGGGCTGGGGCTGCCTGCACGAGCGCCCGCCGTCTTCGTGAGCCCGAGCAGCGGCGAGCCCGGGGCCCGGGGCGGCCTGGAGACCAGCGCGGCTTAGCCCGGCCGGGAGGCCGGAGGACCGAGGGTGAGCGGCCGGCCCGACTCTATGCAACAGCCACCCTCGAGGAACCAGAGCACTTTAGGGGTCCCCACGGCCGGCGGGTCCCCCTCCCCACTCAGCAATACCCGCCCCACTGACCATGATGCTCCAATAAACTTTTTTTATGCTTTTGCGGACTAGTGACTACTTTCATATTGCGAAGATCACTGACCTTCTATAGCAGCTTCTCCAGTGGACCCTGGACAATGCAGGGGGGCGGGGACCCCCAACCTGTCGCAGGGAGACACAGGAGGAATTGAAGTGCTCTGGTGCAGGACTCCTGGCTAGGAAAGGCCTTTAAAGGCCACCCACAAGAGGCTGTTTTCCTTGAAAATAGGATATACACTTGGAAAAATTAGGGGCGCTCTGATGTTCTAATGATGAGAAACTCTGCTGTAATCCGAGAGGCATATGGTTCAAATCCAACAGCTGCTCCATGGGAGAAGGCGGGACAATCTCCTCTGAGAATCTGCTGTGGGTCAGTTCAGACTCCATGGTACACAACAATAACAACTAGGGGAAGAGAGGCGGAGGCAGGATGTAGGCTCCAGCAGAGGCTGCAGGAGCAGAGGCCGGTGAGGAGGGGACCTAGAGAGCTGGGAAGGGTGCCCGGAGGTCCCGGTGCCTACTCCTGGAAGTGGGACTGCGGTCATGTACTGGGCACACATGGCCTGATCACTGTTCCCCCCCGCCCCCAGACCCCAGTGCTAGGCCCTGGACCCTACCCCCGACAATTGGAGGACTGCACGACCCCCGAAGTCAGGACTGGGGACAGGTCCGGGGGTGATGGTTGAGGCTGCGGGAGCGGCTCCGCCCGCGGAGCCCGAGCACCGGGAGGGCGGGGCCGGGGGCGGGGCCAGCGTGACCTTGGTCACTCTCCCGCGGAGACAGGCCCAGGGGTGGGACTCGGCGTCTCTATGGAGACAGAGAAACAGGGGATAATACAGCGGAGCCGCCCGGGCTGCAGTCCCGCCCCGGAGCCGGCAGGGAGCAGAGCTGCAGGGCTGCCTGGTGTCTCGCGTCTGTCAGTCTGTTCTTGGGTCCTTCAGTCCATCAGAACGTGCATTGCAGGAGCAGCCACGAGGTAGAAGCCGGTAGGAGACCCGGGCGCCGACCACCCTAGTCAGTACCCTGCATGCTCAAGGGCGAGGGGAGGAGCAGCCCGGGAGGGTCCCAGTCCCCCTGATACTAAGCTGGGGACGCCAGCTGAGCTGCCCTGCCCAGGCCCCGGCGAGCCCCACCCCCACCCTCACCTCCTGCCCTGGCTGATTGAAGACTCCAGCTGGCTCGGCGGGAGCGAGCAGGTGGCCCCCGTCCACGGGCGTGGCCGCTCCATCATGGCCTGCAGACCCCTGGGACCACAGCCTGCGACCTGTCTCCACCTGATCAGCCTGGGAGTACCAAGACTCCATCTTCCCACAGACAGGAGTGAGCACTGGACGCTGGATCTCGCTAGTCACTGGAAAAAGCATCCCGTGTTGCCTAAACATCCTAGACAAAGCAAATGCTGGGCCCTGGTGGGAGGGCGTTAAATCTAGGCAGTGCAAGAGGCGCGTACACTGCAGACTGGGGCTGTGGTCCCACAGAGCTCAGCTCTGGAGGAGTGGAGGCTGTAACTTGGGGGTGGGTACGTGGGCCCTGGGGAGGGATTTTCAGTGTTAAGCTGATGGTAGTGGAGGAGAGGGGTATTGAGCAAGGCCTCTGACTGGGGGCCTAGGGTAACTGACCCAGGTAGATGGTTACTGAAGCATATGAAGAACAGGACAGAGTTGTGGTCAGGGGGCTGGAGCAGAGGAAGTAGGGGGTGCAGGGGAGTTTCAAACAAAATAGTTCCTAGGGGCCTGCAAATGCAAAGCAATGGGTGTGGGCACTGAGGACATTAGTGCAGGTCTGGGAGTGTGGTCCCAAGGTCTCAACACAGGGCACCAAGAGCTGGACAAAGGAAGGGGGTTCTGAGGGTGTGGTCAGGGCTGCGTTCTGTGGAGAGTGAGGAAATCAGGTAATCCAGGGCATCGTTGAGGCAATTGTTGAGGCAATGGAGAAAGTAAGTGCTGCTGGTGTGTGGACAGGGGTTCTGTCACAGGGCTTAGGGGATGTGTGTGATTGCCGAGACAACTGTCAGGGGTCCCAGTAAGGGCCAGGGATGTGGGGATGGAGGGCACTGCAGTGCAGGGTGGAAGGTGTGGTCAGGGAGGCCTCAGACCCAGCTACCATGTATGGAGAGGGCTTTGCGTGGGGGGGAAATGCGGTGGGGCTGAGGGTGCCTGGGGATACTTCACTGAAGGGCTGAGGGTACTACCAGGCAGACCTCAGGACAGGGTGTGGCATAGATGCGGAGGGCACATGAGGTGTGGACATGTGGCTGGAGGATGCTGCAGTGCGGCCAGGGGTGTGGCCAGGGGTCTGCAGTAGAGGCTGTGTGAGTTGGAAGAGGGCCTTTAATGCAGTACTGAGAGTGTGCTGGATCAGAGGGGGCCTCAACACCGATGTCAGGGTGTGGCTAATGGGTGCCAGTCAAGACTGTGGAGGACCAGTGCTGAGTGTGTGTGGGTGCCATGCAGGGCTGTGTATGCAGACTGGCATGGCTGTGCTTAGGGTGTGGTCAGGGGCCTCTAAGGAGGACCTAAGGCATGAGCACTGGGCAAGGGTGCTTCAAGGCAGGGTGTAGGTGTCAGGATGGCAGTGCCAAGGCACAGTCCCACTCACCAACATGCCTCCCACTCAGGGTAGTCCTCCAATTTTCTATGCTTCCTAAATTCCACATACTAGGATGTTACAGCCCCAATGAGTGGCAAGGGGCCAGGAAGCCACAGTTGTGCCCCAGGCTCTGGGAGTGCTGGCTTGCCCCAACCATGGGCCCCTGTTCCCCAGCCCAGCCCAGCCCAGCAGCACTGGGAGCTTCTCCCTGAGACGCCCTGACACCAGCCTGCCCTTAGCAACATTCTCCAAGCAGCACCACCCTCCCTTAGCAACTGTCTCCAGGCTTCACAAACTGTGGCCAGGCCAGCACCAAGCTCCAGCTCCCCTCATGTTTTTGTTTAACAGCAAATAGTAACAAGGTCCCGGCTGGGCCAGCTACACCCCTGCCTAGGGCACCCACCCCTGCACAGGCTCTGGCTTCTCAGGTCTGGATTGGGTCTTGTTGGGGCCTATGACCTTACACACACACAATCTTCACAAAATACCTGCACAACCAGCAACCTGGCCCTTACCCAGCTTGGCGTGGGGCCCCCCAGGGAGAGGGCCCTGCTCTGCCACCCTCACTTCCACCCGGGCAGGCCTTGTGCCAGGGCCAGACAAAGCCATGTCCCCAGCTGCTGCCCTCACAATCTTTCTGGACAGTGTCACTCTGTTCCCAGCCTGGTGTGGGCATCATGATTTCATCTTCTAACCCTGCTCAGAGCCAGGGCTGGCACTAAGCAACAGGACCTTTCCTCTTGGGGCTCGTCCTAACCCCTCTCGGGCTCTGGGCCCACAGTGCCCCCAATGGGCCCGTCCCCACGCAGCACCAGCTCCAGCTCTGTAGTTATGAAGCAGACGAACCCACAGCTGAGTCTCAGCAGCAGAGACGGGATGCTCCGTGTTGGGGAGGGGAGGTGCAGCCTGGCAGGGAGGTGATCAAGGCGGGTCCCTACAGGCCGGCATGGCAGAGAGCACGGACATCGCTGGGCTGGAGGAGAGCTTCCGCAAATTCGCCATCCATGGTGACCCCAAGGCCAGCGGGCAAGAGATGAACGGCAAGAACTGGGCCAAGCTGTGCAAAGACTGCAAGGTGGCTGATGGGAAGGCCGTGACAGGGACGGATGTGGACATCGTCTTCTCCAAAGTCAAGTGAGCTCCAGGCAGTCCCTGCTTCCAATGGCCCCTGAAGGCGGGGGCGGGGAGGCCAGGGCCAGGCAGAACCCTGGAGCAGGGGACAGCTCATGATGCCCACGTGCCTGGCAGGGGGAAGTCGGCTCGAGTCATCAACTACGAGGAGTTCAAGAAGGCCCTCGAAGAGCTGGCAACCAAGCGGTTCAAAGGGAAGAGCAAAGAGGAGGCCTTCGATGCGATCTGCCAGCTGGTGGCCGGCAAGGAGCCAGCCAACGTGGGGGTCACGGTGAGTGCTCTGCTGTGGCCCCTGGGGTCGTGGGAGGATTCTCACGAGGAGGTGAGGACTGGGCTCCCTTACCAGGTGTGCATGGGGAAACTCTATTCAAACAGAAAGCGAAAACAGGAGGGGCCGTGGAACGGCTGACCGACACCAGCAAGTACACGGGCTCCCACAAGGAGCGATTTGATGAGAGCGGCAAGGGCAAGGGCATTGCAGGGCGGCAGGACATCCTGGATGACAGTGGCTACGTGAGTGCCTACAAGAACGCGGGCACCTATGATGCCAAGGTGAAGAAATGAGGCCTGGGAAGGCCCCCCGGCATAACTGCCCCCGCCAGAGGCTCAGGCCGAGGCCCAAGGGGCACGTGAAGCAAAGAGTCGGCCCCTAACCTGCCAGATGAGCTACCCAGAGCGTCCTGCCCAGCCCCATGGGGCCAGCCCATCAGGTCTCTGACCCAGACTGCTATGCACCCTCCTCCTCCTCCTGTGCCCCTTGCCAACTTATCTCTCTCTGGAGAGTCTGTGCCGATAGCCTCACCACCCCAGCCTGGCCCCAGGTATGGCTAACCCTTGCCTGCTTGACTCATATTTAAACTGCTGCTCTGGCCAAGTGCCTAATTCTTCCCCAGACCTCAATAAAAGACACCTTTTGTACCAAAATGGCCTGGTTGGGTAGATGATGATGGAGGTAATAGCATGTATACCTCGAGACCCCCACAAAACAGCACCCCTACATGGCACACCCTGCTGATCACTCTCTGCTGCGGGGAGCCCTGCCCAGAAAGAAACAACACCCATCCCTTCCATTAGCCTGGAGCCAGACCGCCCAAGGATGCTCCTTAGGGAACCCAGAGCCTTTTAACTCAGATATCACATCTTACCTTCCGGCAATTAGGCTCCTCTCGTCTCTGATAGCAGGCAGAGTGGTGAGACAGCAGATGAGGCCCAGGCTAAGCCCTGGCAGAGGCCCTGGTGCGACCAGGACAAGTCATTTTGGGTTCTAGCTCCGAATACAGAGAATAGAACCTGAAAAAACCCTCAGTGGGTATGTGCTTCCATTCCTTCATTTTCTAGGTGAGGAGAGGGCTTCTGCAGAATCGAGGCCAAAGCTGTACCTCCTGTCTCATAGACCCGGTGTTTTCTGCCACAGAAGGCCTTAATACTGATTCCCAGAAATGGGCTGGGAAGCTGACAGTGCAACCTAGCACTGAATGCCGGCCTTCAGCAGGTGGGTGGGAGGCTCACCCTCTCCAGTTATCCAACACCCCAGGACTCTTGAGCATTTGCAATTTGTTCTCCCCTCTGAAGAGCAAGGTGTTAGGCCAGAACTACTGTCACAGCCAACGCTTTGGGGCCAGCTCTCCTTCCTTCCTGCTGTGGCGAGGCTTGGCCTCCCCGGGCAATGGCAGCTCCCATGGGCGCTAGAAGAGGCTTGGGAGGCACATGGCTTGTAAATACTCGCCTCCTTCCCTAACTGAGATAGCGCGGCAAAGCGGCAGCCTTTATTCTCTCAGTGCTTGGCCATGTCCTCTAGGATGTTTCTGAACTCAGCTTCACTTAGTGATGGTGTATGGTGATAGCATGGCTCACAACAGTGATTCAGGGGTGAGGTGAGAATTTCAGGGCGGAGCCAGATCAGCACACTGGCCACAGCAGAGCCTGCCATCCAGGACAGCTGCCCGGTCCTTCCATGTCACTCCTCCTCACTCTCTTAACTGAGTTCCCTGCACCTTCCAGGAAGGATTTTCACAGTTTCACCCTCCCACCAGCAATTATCCAGGGGAATGATTCTCCCCCAGGCTTTGAGAAATTTGTTTGAATTGCAAATTTTGTTTAAACAATCCTAACAGAAGTAAAACCCACATTATCTGGCTTTTACTTTCTGAAATCTCTTCATAGTGAAAAGAACTGAATGGCATTTCCAAAGTGGGCCGGGCTGTCAGTTATCAGACTCCGGCTGAGGGAGCTGTCCGGCTGAGGGAGCTGTCCGTGTGTGGGTGGGAAGAGCAGAGGGCCCATTCACCCCAGGAATATCAGTGTGGAGGAGCTGAGAGCAAGAGCCAGCTGGGCCTCAAACTCTAACCTCATAGGCATTAGGCTGTTTGCTTCTATAAAGGTTCTTAGCCTGGGAAATTCTGAGGGCAGTTCTGCTTTGTCTAGTTGGTCACTACGAGCCAGAACTGACCCAACAGCAATGGGTGTGCTTTTGAATTGTCTTGGTTTTGGTGTCTGAAGGAAATCAAGGCCCACCCAGAGCCAGGAAGACTCTTAGGGATCGAATGAACGGGTCTGGCAGAGTCACCCCTGCTGCCCCTGCTGCCATTGTCCTGACAGGCTGAACAGAGAGCAGCTTTTGGGACCTTGCAGGTTCTATTTCCAACTCAGAGGAACGTGATCATCAACCGTAACTCTCCGCCCTGCACAGCAGCTGGGTCAGGGATGCAAACTTGTCTGCTCCCCTCCTGACCCGCAGCACAACGTGGACTTGGCCCCCTCCACACACTCCAGCAGCACTTACCACCTACGAAACATACTCACAACTCCTTTTCTCCCATTGATTTTAAAAAAAAGTCCAAATAAGCTTAAAGCAGTGTGTGCCTGGGTTGGAATACAGGATACTTCCACATCACACAAGGAGCCCTGGGATGCAGTCATGAAGCATTCAGCTGCTCACTAAAGTCTGGCAGTTAAAGGAGAAAATCCCCAGGGCAGTTCTGTCCTCTCACGTGGGGGTGGGGGGGAGAGGGGGTGTCGGCTTGAGGTGAACATTGCCTCGATGACACCTAGTAACCAACGACACACGGACGTTGAGCTCAAAGCTAACATCTCAGAAGCTGCATCTTCAGCCTGGACAGCACCAGCCTCCTCTAGGTCCTCCAGAACCTTTACATCTTCTTCCATGCCCTCACCCCCCACCAGGGCCCCCTTCTGACAGGAAATCTTCACAATGCGAATCTGTCTCCCCCTCCCTTCCCACTTGGAAACCTTCAAGGTGCCTCTTCTCAGCCCCTCGGTTCCCTGAATGGGCCATGTGTTTCCCATCTCATCACCTCTGCCGCCAGCTTCTCCCCACTGTCTTGCCCTCAGGCCTTACACTTTACCTAGTAACTTCTCGTTCTTTCTCAGGGCTCAGCTGAAAGGCCACTTCCTCAGGGAACTCTTTTGCCATCACACTTGCCAAGCTAGGTCTGGCTCCCGTGTTACATATTCTTTCAGCACCGCATTGCCCTCACTTTTAGTGTTTAAGCTCTTGGATGGCTTGTTGATTCCCGTCACAAGCTTTGAGTGCCATCATCTGTGGAGCTTTTTGCTTTTCTCCCTGATTAAACTGCTGGCTGCACCCCAAAAAATACCAGATGCTGCCCCCCTTTCACTTTCTTTTGAAAAGAAACTCAAAACATGTTTGATGAATGAGGAAGTAAGAATTCTCTCATCTCCTTCTCCTAACGTCCTAGCACCTGAGCTCGAATGCTCCTTTTAACCGCCAACTACACCCCTTCATGTAACACCCAAGAAAAGGGTCTAGCGGTTCGGTTTGTTTTGTTTTTTCTTTTTCAACATTTTCTGCCAAATGTTTCTATGTGATACAATGCCTAGGACCAAGTGCCAACTATTTCTGTGGGCCGAAGGAAAGAATGACTTGATGGGAGGAGATGGAGATAAACAAGACAGCCATTTTTTTAAAAAAATGACCAATACAATGCAATCAGAGTAAGTTTTTCTTTGTCTTTGTGGGTAAGAACCAGTACACTGGGGCAACAGCGTGGCGAGCCCCCCCTGGCTGGGGGGCAAGCAGAGCGAAGGTGTCAGCTCCACAAAGCAGCCTCCGAGCCTCCATCTGAGATGCTCTGTATCAGATACTGACCCGTGTCGTGTGCCGCTGGTGAGGAGGATGACAGCGTGCTTTTCCCAAAGGGCGATGATCTCCCCAAATGATGGCCCTTCTCAGGCGGCAGGAGCGCTTTCCCGGAATAACCTTTTTGCTCTTTATTCAGCTGCTGCAGTAGATACTCATTAGTTACCACCAGGGATCTGAGACACGAGGGAAAAGGACGGGCATGAAATGATGAAAGGCGTGGGGAAGCCATTCAGATCCAAAATGCTCACTAGAGATACACTGCAAAATGAAGTAACGTCTTAAAATAGAAAGAACTGCCCAGTTTACGAGGGGGTTGTAAAAGCAGGCCTGCAGTTTCTTTCTTCATTGCGGTTCTGTTTGATTATGTTCCAGAGTGGCTGCACCAACAGCATAGTTCACATTTTATGTAAGCGCTCATTGCAGGCTCTCCAGAGCGCTCTCACCGTGAGCTAAGTGGAAGTGCTGGGAGGCTGGCACCTGGCCAGGTCTCCAATTTCCCAAACCTTAACTTCTAATACATGCTGCCAATGTGATTAACTAATGGTGCTAGTTAGTCATAACCATATTCTTGGACTCTAGATTAGCCATCCAGACACTGGCCCAAAAAAAGTATATACATATAATACTATTCATTTGAGTACTACTTTCAATAGCAAAATATTGTTAACCTGAATGTTCATCACAGAGACATGGTTAAATAAACTACTATCATCTACACAGTAGAGTGCTATGCAGCTGTAAAAAGGAACAAGAACTAACATATAATATTGCGAATTTATTTCCAAGAAATCCTGTTAAAGCCACACTCTGTATTCTATGCCCCTGTTAATCTATGAAAGGAGGAATACAAATTCCCCATACATAATTGAAGGCAGGTGGGAGAGGAGAAAAATGTTGAAATAGACTGAAAAAGACGTGACCAAGGGATGTTAGCTGATCTAAACCAGGGTCCCGATAGGCACAATGTGAAACTATTAATGACTGAACTCAGCAATGCCAACAAAGACGCACAGTCCCTGGTGTGACCTGAGAAAGAGTTCTCTAGGCACTGAGCTAACTTCCCTAGATACGGGAGGTTTACATACAGAATCAGTTCACCAAATGTGTAACTGTTAACTTGCCAAGTGAAACAAAGGAAATACAGAGAAGGAAACATCTGCCTCCAGAAGCCGTCTACATAGACTCTCTTACCTCTGACTCTCGTGGAGAAGGGCCACTGTCTCCTCCAGCTTTCTCAGCTGGGCCAGCTCCTGGCTCAGGCAAGCCACCTGCTGGTTCAGCTGTTGGTTTTTACGCAGAAGATCATCTACAAAGGGTGTGGTAACAGGGGTGAGCAGGATTCCGAGCTGCAAAGTCTCTAAGTAAAGCTTAACTGCTCAAGTGGGCAGATTGGAGAATTGGGGCTTCATTGCACTCATCCCACTCTGTTCACCATTCCCTCCCTTGAAGACAGTAGAGATAGAGACAAAGATACGGGGTTTGGCTACAGAAAGGTTTGAATTAAAATCCAACCACTGAATATTGTGCACTCCAATTCCTTTCCTGCATTTCACTGGAGCTGACCCCTGCCCCACAGCACGGTTCTAAGGGTTCAGCGAGACCCATCTCACTCAGCAAAGGCGGTCAACCAACATGAGGTCTGTCTTCATTCTCCACGTCAGTGTGTGAATGCCTGTCCTTCACTCCGTGTGCAGTAAGTGGGAACACCGAGAACTATGCAGGCATGCTGGAGAACTCAATGAGTGCTCATAGAAATAGCATTGGTAGCTAAGACACTTACCTCCCCAGACTCATTACCACTGCCTGCATTCATAACGTAGGGAAAATCACAGGAAATCAGCTTCTAAGAAGTCAGTCTTCAAGATAGTGCTTCTTTTAATACACTTACAAGTCCCCTGGGGATCTTATTAAAAATAGATTCTGCTTCAGTAGTTCTGAGGCGAAGCGAATACTCTAGCCGCTTAACAAGCTCCCAGGTGAGGGTAATGCTGCTGATCTGAGATTCACACTTTTGAGTAACAAGGTTCCACAGCGTGGAAGGCAGGGCTGCAATTGTCCACCAGCAAGCCAAAGGCTGAAGAGAAGTATCTAGCAGAAAAACCTCAACTTCTTTTCAGAGGAGATAAATGGAGACTGGGTGCCTGGATTTTTCAAGCCCTAGAGTCAGATAGTGTCGGAATTAACTCTGGAGATGCAGTACTATCTTCCAAATCAAGTTCTTCATAGGAATCCAAATATCCCTAATGTTTGTTTAGGGGTACTGAGCTAGAGTTTTAAAGTAGAGGTGTGACTTTTATAAAACAGTTGCCTAAAGTAGTAATAATAATAACCAAGTAATAAATGAAAGATAAGTGAAATCAAGACTCAAATGATAAGTGAAAAACGAGTGAAATCAAGACTTAAATGACAAGTGAAAAATCAGTTTTCATTTGGCAGAAGTGGTATGAAAAAGCTATTCTGTTACATGGCTGATGTGAGTGAAAATGAGGTGGATATGGAAATGTTTCCGTCCAAGTGTCCATGTCCTTTGACCAGCTAATTCTATTCCTAGGAATGCCTCCCTGGAAAACAGTCTGAAATATACACAAAGATTTATACAAATAGATATTAATAGCAGCACTGTTTATAATATTATAAATATTGGACTTCAGCTCTATCAGAAGGCAGCAAAGTCAGTCAGAGAGTCTTGTCTTCCATTTCAGGTCTTTCTTTTGAATATTTAGAAATTCTTTAGAATTTTCTAATGTTTTAGAATATTCTAATGTTTTAAGTACTGGCAGCTTTATGATAGCAAACCTCAAACAAATTTAGAGAGGACTGGATAGATAAATCTGTGTGGTATTATACAGCGCATGTCCTTTTAAATTCACAACGTCAGTCTATAAGCAGATCAGTGATTACTTGGGGTGGAGGGTGGGAAATTTTTTTTTTTTTTTGGAGGGTGGGAAATTTGACTGCAGAGTGGGTATAAAGGAGATTTCTAGACTCAAAGAAATGTTCTAGATTTTGATTGGGATGGGATTATGGGGACGGATATATTTGTCAAAGCTCATTAAACTTAAAATGTATACATTTATGGCATGTGAATTCCTTCTTAAAATCAGAGCACAAATTAAACTTTTGAGTTAAAAAGATATGCATGCAGGTAAACTGGAAGAAAATATACTAAAAACATACTCATAGCAGTTATTCTGAGCAGTAGGATTCCATTTCCTTACATTTCTCAAGTGTCCCTAGGTGGTTAAGTGTTCTAGCCTTAGTTGAAAGGTTGTCAGTTCAAACCCACAGAAAGGCACCCTGGAAGCCCGGCCTGACAACCTCCTTTCAGAAAGTCAAAGCCGTTAAATGCTATAGACCAGGTTCTGTTCTGTACATCTGGGATCAGAAAAGACTTGATGGCAACTAACAAGAACAAGGGTTTCAAACTTTCTATAAAGAACATATTCTCTTACTGTAATCAGAGAAAAGGTAACAGTAATCTAAAAAAATAAAAGCTTCACCTTGTAACTTAAGTCACTTGCAAGTCAGAACTCTAAGGCAGGATGGTTGTTTATATCTGGCTGCCGAGAAAGCCAGAGGGAGCAATGTCCTGTCTTGATTATGAGTTCTTGGTGATGCTTATTGAACAGGTCATCTAGACACAAACAGCTGTCTCTGGACACGACACATGGCTTTCCTGAACTCACCATAAGCATGGGACTGGTGCCCGCTCACAGTCGAGGCGATGGGACCTTCCTCCAGCTGTTGAATTTTTTCTGACAAAACAAGGTTTTCTTCCAGCACTCGGACCAGTTTTTGCTTCAAACTTTCCTTTAGATCAGAAAAGGAAATGCAAACACATAAAGAATCTGAAACCCCGAGGTGTGCTTTTAGAAGCTGGGGAGCAACTTCTGTTTAAGTGATAAACAGAGTGGCCGCAGCATCTCCATGACTCAGCAGAATCTGAGTTCATCATTAATAAACACAGCTCCTATGCAGCCAACACATGTATCCCACAGTCCAATCTTACCCATGAGTTAGCCACTACTCTTATAGAACAAGTGATCATTCTGACAAGTGGCCAGCATTCACAGTCACTTGTCTAAATTTTCTAGGGTTGAATGTGGTGTCTGAAAATCCTTCCATGATAAGGACAGAGGAGAAAGCATGGGGACATGCATTCATTCTTCCTCTCCAGAGCTAAGTTCAACAGACTGATGCTCTGGGCATGGCTCCTGGGTCAGGATTCTTAGCTCCCTCCCTCAGGAGAGAAGGCCAATCTCAGAGCAATCACCTTCCTTCACTGGAATCAAATGATAACCTTTAAGAACATGGTCTTAATTTTTCTTTTTTTTTTTTAATTCTAGAGTTTGTTTGCTTTTCTTTCCTACTATTTCAAGTCTTTTGTTAGAATTGTTTGGATTAGATGTTAGGCTAGGGAGTGATCCCTGATGAATTTCCAAACTGCCCTGGGGCCAAAAAAGACTTGTGCTCCAGATTTGCCCGGATGGCTTTCTCCACATTCTGGTTCAGGAATGTGTCTAGGTGCTTCATGGTGAGAATGGCCTTCAGGGCACAGAGGAAGCCGAGGAAAGGATCACAGGAGAGGCCTACCATATCATTAGGCACCAGCTGCCCAGCTTCCTTCAGCACCATCTCCCTCCTGCGGAAGGCTTTTGAAGTGTCTTCAGGATGCCCCCGACACCACTGCTGAGGAGGAGAAGGGACCACCAGACTCAAAAGCAAATCTCGGGCAGGACCTGCCAAAAATTCAGGGTGAGTGCAAAGGTCCATCTTAAAAGTGAAAGCACAGAATTCCTTGAGAATAACTACCAGCTCTGGAGGACAAAAAAAAAAAAAGTAATCTACTGTCTCCTTGTGCTAAGAATTGAGTGCATGACTGCAAGAGGTGTTTTATAAAGGACAAATTATGCCCCACGTCCTCAATGGAAAAACACCCAGCAGATCCTTATAACTGTAAGATCTGTGTATCACTATCTATTTACTGAAGACTAGCAGCTTCAATGGAGAATTTGCTATAAAGTTTGCTGCAAAGAGCCAAAAGAGGAGGGGGGGAAATATGCCAGGAGGTCTCCCTATGGCCTCAGAGGTCACAACAATGGTGCAGGGTCCTAACAACAACAACAACAACGTGTCCCTCTCTAGAAATTAAGAGAGAAAAACAGCAGCAAACCCAAACAATTTCCACGTTTTCAAGCTTTTACCATCACCAGAAGCTCTCTGAATTCTTCTAATAAACAACAAATAAACTCTCAAAAGCTAACCATTTGTAAAACTATTTTCTCCTGGTTTTCTAACAAACAAACAAAAAAACACACAAAAAAAGCACCCACCCCAGGAACAACAATAAAAACACGTGCACAAACACAATGTAAAAGAGTCCAAGTCATTTTACTCATTCTAATTTTCAAATGATGTTGTTGTTTTGCCGTTGAGTTGTGCACAACTCATAGTGATCCTATGAACAAAAGGCCTGAAGCCTTCCTATAATTATCATCCTTTTTTCCAAGTTCATAGAATTTTCGGAAGCATGTGGTTTAGGAAGTGGATGCCACTCCTACTTCCAAAGAATCAATCTCTAAGAGTCACCTCCAAACTCTGAGCCTCAAACGCAATTTCGATTGTATTCTTGACACGTTCCCAAGGAGGCTAAGATCTTTGTGTATCCATTCCCATTACTATTTTCACTGTTACATGTCCAGCCACTCTTTATAACCCGGAGACTATAAAATAAAAATCGCAGGAGGAATTAAGCAACAGATGCATGAGGAAAGAGAGCGGATTCAGAACGGGGCAGAAGCAATGCCAAGATTTGTTAGTGGCAGAGTTCCTGAGAAGTTTCGGGAAGTGACCACACGGATGATTCTCCTTGCCTGCGAAGGTGGCTACCGGGTTTTTACCAGAGCACAGAGCAGAAGCCAGGCTGCCGCCCTCCTCCAGGAACCGAGAACACGCTCACCAAGGAACTTCTTGTTGAGGAGGAGGGAGCCAGAGCCCGTCCAGTGCTTGTCCACCAGCTCTAGGAGTTCTCTGAGCACAGTCGCCACATGGGAAGTTCTGGCACAGATCGGGGGACTGTGGTTTCCTGGCAAACCATGCAAACTGTCCAGGTCACTAGAGAGAGACTCAAGAAAAAAAAAACAAACAGAAAAACAACCGTTGTCACTCTTACACAATAAGGGAAGCAGGAACCCCAAATCCAGACATTTAAAGCATTACCATTTTTTTAAAAAAACCCACATTTAAAAAATGATCTTTTAACTTTTCTGTTTGGATTTGAATCATGTTTTATTTATATCCAAAGCAAATTCAACACATTATCATTTCAAAGATAGCAGTATCTTCTAACATACTTTTCTGTAGGGTTTTTCAGAAGAAAATAAACAACTACTTCTGTTGGCACAGATATATATGATACAAGATTATCTGTGGAACTATTAAACTGTAAAAAATTTTTAAAGTGTTGGGAAGTAATTTGATAAAAATTAAATCACAATAGACTTTTTTTAGTACATGTGCTGTCGAATCAGAAGCACTCAGAGGTGACCCTCCAGCAGGTTTGCAGTCAGTAAATCTCATGCGTGATGCCCACCTTTCTCCTGTGGAGCAGCTGGTGATTTTGAACTGCACACCTTTGGGTTGACAGTGCAACTCTTTACCACTAGGCCACCAGGTCTCATCATATTTAATATATAATAAGAGTAAATGCATTGCAATATTTTAAATGTTATTATTTGACCCAGTACTAAAGATATTTTAATTCACTAAGAATCATATATATTCATATCGGAATAAAGAAAATAGTGAGTGTTATTGTAGAGATCTACCAATCTTTCCTATAAAGTGTCATGGGCTTCCAGAATGCTGATAAAAAGAAGAAACAAATTATTTCCTAATCTGGTTCTTTTAATGTAAACAAAAACCAATACCTAAACTTATCATTAATTACCTAATGTCATATCTGATGGTGAAAGGATTTTTTTAAACAACTTTAAAAATATTTTCTTTTTAGCAATTTTCTGACTTAAATCTTTCTAGAAAGTAAAGAATGTATTTCTCTTATCACATGCAAGCAGCTCTTTCAAAGATGTCACTATTAAAAAATATGTCTAATAAGAAAGAGGTAGAAGATAGTTCAGAATAAAACTCCATTTTTAGAATGACTTGATATTTTAATTGCTATTTTTAAAAATAGTACATAAAACAGACATTTAAAAACTCCCTAGATCATGTCTTACTAATATAGTATTTCTAATATCTGAAGTGTTACTGTACTTTCATCCTAACCCCATAAACATATAAAATGCTCGTTTGATCATATATCAAAAGCTGGGAATGAGGAGTGGAAGAGGAAGATGCCAAAAAATGAAGTATTACAAGACTGCCCCCTTTAGTAGACAAAAATCATAACTATTCCCAACCTCAGCCACACTTTTAAAATTCAGAAGATTGAACAAAAAAATATGTAGAGAAAGGAGAAATAGATCTACCCCCTAAAAGATCCCAACTAAAAAAAAAAAAAAAAAGTTGCTTTCAACTATCTCATTTTTTTACCAAAAATTTATATTAAAGTAAGAGTTGCACGAGACCCATCTCCACACTCAGTACAGGCTGTCAACAAACATGAGGTCTTTCTTTGTTCTCCAATTCAGTGTGTGAATGCCTGTCCTTCACTCCCTTTGCAGTAAATGGGAACACTTAAAACTACGCCAGGCAAGCTGGAGAACTCAGTGAGTGCTCGTAGAAATAACATCAGGTCTCTGAAAACCCCTTTGAATTTCTAACACTCTGGGTCAGAACCACTGCCACCCCAAGAGAACCAACCCCATTCTGATCTTGGGCTCAATGTGTTTCCTGCACAAGCACAAATAAGCCAACACTTGCCTCACTGCCTGTGGCCTCTCGGAAGCCGTGCTTTGGGTTCAGAGTGGCAAGGACATTGTCCTTACGCTTGAAGCCTCTCTTGGCTGGGCTGAACGACCTCTTGGTCAAAGCTTCTCTCTCTTCTGAAGACCCAGAAGGCAGCATCAGGGTCCGCAAAGAGTTTCCCAGGACGGAGTTGTTGGATAAAGATCCATGCGGTGGCGTTAAGTCGTTGAGACTGCTGGGTAATTGCTGCTCTACACTAACCAGCAGGCCAGGGTCACTGTTGAAATGGGTCGTGGCATACAGATCTGTGGAGGAAAAAGGCTAAGAGGTCAAGCTGACCCTCAACCCCATCTTATCTCACTCCCTCCCCGAGCTGGAGTCCAAAGATCATAATACTTCCTAGCACATCCCCCCAACTCCCTGGATTCTTTCTCCTTCTACCTTATAAAACTCCAGCTCTGGTTAAAGCCAACTTGTCCATCTCCCCCACGCCAACATCGCAGTAAAGGAAAATGGCTAGAGAACAACCTTAACAGAATTAAGCTCATAACCACTATCTTGACTGGGCCCTCAATACTGCCTGTTGTTACTGTGCTCTGTCAAGTTGGAACTGACTCATCGCAGACCCTCCAGCTTGTTCTCAGAGGCAATTAATTAATCAGATGGAAGGAGACTGTCCATCTTTCTCCCGTGGAGCAGTTGATGGTTTCAAACTGTGTGTCTTTGCACTGGCAACACAACTCCCTGCCATTAAGTCACGAGAGCTCCCTCTTAATATTTTATTCTTGTCAGTTTATACATCTCCATTCTGAAATGACTATTTCACCTATTTTTATTTTTGTCTCCTCAAACTTCCAACATAGTACTGTCCGCACTCTGCTGTGCCGACCTTCTGTTATTTCACTGAGAAAACAGAGGCAATCACAGCGAGTGTCTACGAGATCCAATCACTGCCCATATTTATACCATCAACTGTCTTCCTTCTTGTTATACAAATGGACCGACCATCTGTGCTTCTAAGGCCAACCTCTCCACAGAGGGGTCAAATTCCCTCTCCTTTTGACTGTGGTGTTGTTGGTAAGCGCCGTGGAGTCATAGGCGACTCACAGCGACCCTATGAGCGAAAGTCCTCGACACATGCGAGCGCAACTTTCATCCTTTCTCCAGGTTCATAGGATTTCCAGAGGCAAGCTGTTTACAGAAGTGGATGCCACTCCTGCTTCCCTCCTTTTGACTATCCAAGGGTTTTTTCTTATCATTGTTCTTTCTTTGCCATGGCACTAATTTGCACTCTAGGAGGGCATTTCAGGGGAGCTGGGGTGGCATCATGCATGGGGTGTTAGGTGGCTAACCAAAGGGCAGTACGCCTGGCAGTTCAAATCCATCAGCTGCATGAGGAAAAGATGAGCTTTCTCTTCCCACTACAATTCACTCTCTGAGACCCAGTGGAGGCTCAGCCATGAATGGAACCAATTCCACGGCAATTAGAGGGGTTTTCCATCAAGATCTCCTTTACCCCATACCTCGGATCCAGCCACAGTTTCATTTTTTTCTATTCCCTTTCAGCACAAAGCTTCTTAAAGGAATTGTTTGTACTCATTAGTTCTATTATCTCTCCTCTAGTTTTCTCTTCAACTCATCTCAATGAGGCTTTTATTCCCATGCCTCCCCTGAAGCTATTCACTAATATCTTCTGTGTTGCCAAATATCTTAATCATTGCTCAGTCCCGGGACTCATTCCTACTCTATTGTAGGCATCTCACATAGAATTGCTTGTTTCTTCCTTCTAGAAAAGCATTATTTCTTTGGCTTCCAGAATATCACTTCACTTTCTTCTCCTTCATTGCTGTTTGTTCCTTTCTTGGCCTCCACATTAGTTTCTCCTTACCTAGCCAACTTCTAGTTGTTGGAGAGCCAGAATCAGTCCTCAGATTATTTTTATCTATCTTCACTCCTTAGGCGAGAGCCCATCCAGCCCGAGTCTTTATGTCACCCATTTATCTCTAATTCCCCAATTTTTATTTCTAGTCCCAGCTTATTCCCTGAATTCTAGCCTAATATGTCCATTTTTTTTTTTTTAAAATCTGGTGCCTTGGGAAGATTTTTAACAGTTTCTCAAACCTAAGCCATTTAAACAAATCCTTCACTTAGAAAACCTCACCACTGTCAAGTTGATTCGGTCTCCCGGTGACCCTCCACGCAGTTTCCCACCAACAATCTTAACGGGAAGAGGTGGCTCACCTTTCTCCCTGGGAGTGATGTCAGAGCTCCTAAATAAACCCTGCTCCTCCTCTCTAGTATTTCCATGGTAATAAAGTCATTCCACTCTCTCAGTTATTCACACACACCACCTTGACTTTCTTTCTCTCACACTTCACCTTCAATCCCTCAGTGAATCATGGAGTGCTGTATCCAAACACAGTCAGAATCCACCCATTTCTTCCCTGCTCCACCATTCTCTTTACCCAGATTCTAACCTCTTGAAAGTGTTTTGTTTTGATCCTTTCTTCTCAAATTCTATTCTCAACCCAGCAGAGTACTTTTTTATAGTCTGTTTATATCACTTTTCTGCTACCAACCCGCCAATGGATTCTAATCTCACCTCTCCGGCTTCATCTACACATCTAACCTCCTTCGTTCCAAAGCAGCAACACTGACTGACCTGACTATACTTTTTTTTTTTAATTTTTATTTTTTTATTATTTTTGTGTGAGTGTACCGTCAAATCAGATCTGACTGGTACAGGAGGAGATTGTCCCTTCTTCCCCAGCAGAGCACCTGGTGGATTCGAACCGTGCGCCTCTGGGATTGCAGTTGCAGGTCCTTGCCACTAGGCCACCAGAGCTCCCCTCTGACTATACTTTTAACGGGCCAGTCAAGTTCTAGTTTCAGGAGTTTTGCACTGTTTCCACGGTCTACAAAATTCTTCCTCCATTTATCTTCACAACTTTTACTCTCATTTCATTCCATTCTGTCTGTGTATAATGTCATATCAAGGGCACTATCCCTGACCACTCTTATCTAATATCGCCTTATCACTGTCTAGATATTTACATTCTTTTTCTTCACAGTACTCATCCCAACCTGATATAGATTACCATGTTAGCTTCTTTCCCGCTATGTCCTTGTTGTCTGTTGTAGTTGTGGACCATCAAGTCGGAACCAACCCATAGCTGACCCTCCAGTGGATTTTTAGAGGCAGGAAATCACACCAGAGTTGGTTACTCATCTTTCTCCCATGGAGCAGCTAGTAGATTTGAACTATGTACCTTTGCTCTGGCAGTGCAAAAACCTTACCACTAAGCATCAGAGCTCTCTACCCTTCCCTCCTTCATATATTCTATCATTCTAGAAAAACAGGTTTCAGACCTGTTGTTCATAGGTCACTATGAGTCACGCTTTACTCGACAGCACCTAGCAACAAACAACATCCTTCTAGAATAGAAACTTCAGGAAAATCGAGAACTTTAGTTTGCTACTACGTCTGCAGACTGAGAAGAGTGTCTTGTACATAGTTGATGTGTGATGAATTGGTTGAATTAATAAAAGGCTGAAAGATAGCCAGAAACTAGCCTTTTCTGAAAGTAACTCAGATTAAAAGTGACTGTAACCAGAGAAGCTTAGAAGTTGCCAAAAATGTGTCCCAGAATTTTATATCATTATGAAATTTGTAGAAATATGAAGTTCATGTTTCTGTAAGTTTTCTTATCACCTTATATTCATCTTACAGATTTCTGGAGGTTCCACTGATCAATGGTCATTATGAAATACAATCTAAAAAAATGCTAAGTTAATTCAAGGAAGCTCCAGTGGCCTAGTCAGTAGGAAGTTGTGCTGTTAGCCCAAGGCAGTGCCTCTCTGGTGGTTCAAATCCACCAGTGGATCTGAGGGGAAAGATGGACAGTATCCTCCCATGCTATTGATAGCTTCTAAACTCTGAGTCAGTTCCAACTCCACACTGTAACTTTTTTTGTAATGTAACTTAACAAATACTAATTCTAAACTTTGCAATACTAACCCACATTCTATCTTCACACCTATGAAAAAGATCTATAAATTGATGGGAAGCTATTACCTGAACTAAGCTTCAAGAGTCTTCCAGTGCTGGAGTCAGGATTAGACAGAGAAGTCAACAAGTCTCCACAGGAATGGGATGCTGCAGCCTTTGTGTCATTTGAAGACTTTGTACTATATTCTCGGTAGCTCTTGCTTCTCTGAGGCCTTTTACCAAGACTTTCATGCAGGGAAAGAGTTTGAGGATAATGACTATCATAATTTTCCAGACCAATATCTGAAGGTAACTGATAGGGATGGATCTGGCTAGAATCCCCCACATCCAGGCGTTTACCCAGTGAGACATCGTGGATAAGCTGATAGGTATCAGGTTTTTGTTTCAAGTCTTTTTCTGGAGAAGAACCTGATGACTTATTATCCAAAAAAGATACGTGGTAGCCTTCTCTAGCCATCTTCTCTGGGGATCGAACTCTGGACTGATGAGGTGAGTAGCGTCTGAATTCTAACCACCATCAAAGGGGAAATAAAAATATGATGAGAATTCTCCCTGGCCCACTTGGAGTTCACTGGACACAGTCTGTCTACTAGAAAAAGTTCTTGGGGGAAAAATTACTTAAATTTTATAAAAGATTGCATAAAGTGATAAAAGGACTATATATATATATATATATATGGAAAAACACAACAAAACCCATATGGAACATCTGTCCCAAAGTAAAGAATCTGTAACATTCTAGAGACAATTTTCATTTCAGACTAATCTCATGGAATTCCTTCCTAAAGCTGTGAAGACTTTAGTAGATACCATTTTCATTTTTAAAAATGCACTGCACCTACCCCTACATGATAATAATTGTAATTTTATGTTTTGAATCTATACAGCAGTTAATGGGTCCATGCTATCACAGATTCCTTGCAACAAAGCCAAACCTACTCCCATTCCTAAGCCTCAAACGGAGGCCGAGGTGTTCAACCCTTGGGAACCACTATCCCAGTCCATTCAAAGTGCAGTAATGAAAAATCTATCAAAAGCTCTGGCCTAGCTATAAAGCATGTCTCTCAGAGGGCTGTATCTGCCATCTCAAAAATGCCACAAAATGAGGCAGATGGGACAGTGTAAAGAAAGAGAAGGTTCTCTGCTCTTTGGCGCAGAGTTTCTGAAGGGCTCCTTTAAGAAAAAGAAAAAACAACCCCAACAACCACCCAACAAATTATTAACTAGGTTAGGCACATTAACTTTAACTCTTTTCATTTCAAGGACCTAGAAGGACACCAGTATTTTATATTAGTCTCATATACAATGCAGTAAAGGTTGTAGAATAGTATCTCTAAGCACCAAAAATGAAGCTAAGAATTTAAGCTATTGGTGAACTGTTTCAAGTAACAATAAATGAGGTAAATCAGACCATCTCTCTTGAACTAAAGGAAGTGAGGAATTTCCAACTTGAATGAGAATCAGGAGAAACAGACAACAAACAGACTTAGCAGATACTGAAATTAACTGACACAGCCTATTAAAAAATGATCATTTAAATTAAAACTCCAGCAGACAAACTTAACAACAGATTAGACACAGCTGTAGAGAATATCAGTGAACTGGCAGACCAGAGACACAATAAATAAAAGCCAGAATAAGAAAGAGAACAGTGTGAAAATCTAACACTGTCTAACACAAATATTTATTTCAAGAGTCTCAAAAAATTGAGTGAAAAATTGAATACAAATAGTATTTGAGTATTTTTGAAAAATTAATGCAAGACATAATTCACACATTCAAGGAGCACAACAGATACCAAGCTGGTTAAGTAACAAACCAAAACAAAACAAAAAAATTAAATTTAAGGGGGGAAAAGAATTGGAAAAGGATCCAGAGAATAGAAAACAGGATATATATAGAAGTTACAGATTTCCAGTTGATTTCTCAAAAGCAACCAACATAGTAAAAATAAAGTGGAATACTATCAATATTTTGAAAGAAATAACTGCCAACCTATAAATTTATACTTAACAAAAGTACTTTTTTAAGGATTATGATGAAATAGTCATTTAATTTAGTAACAGATGTATACTAAAGGAAATTCTAAGGATATGTTATTAAAAAATCCTCACACACATTGTAGACCTAGGTAGGGTTTTGGAGGCTGTAAATAGAATGGGTCATTCTTCTCCTGAGCAGTCACTGGGGGATTTGAACTGCCAGAGAAGTGTGGACTTCGGGTTAGCAGTACAAATTTCTACATCATCAGAGCTCCCTAGAATGTACTATTAGCAGGAGGAAAACAATCTCAGAAAGTAAGTCTTGGCTGAAAGAAAGGAAATTGAGAGTAAACGAAGTGCTTAAATCATGGATAAATTTAAATGAATATTAACTATAAAAATAGCTGTGGGTTTTTAGAAAATAGAGAATGAATTAAAATTTATAATACCAAATATAGAAGTTAGAAGATATTAAATGGAGTAAAGTGCTCTAAAGTCTTTGCCTTATTCAAGAGAAGAGGTAAAGTATTAGAGGATTTTAAGTTGCATTCAGTTATGGACACAAAGATTTTGAAGTAATACTCCAAGCATAGAAATTAAGTATAATTTCCAAACTGGTGTGGGGGGGGAATGTATTAATGATAAAAATCCAAAAGATAGCAATAGAGATAAGAAAAAGCAGGTCAGTAAGCACAAAAAACACTCTCTCTCTCTCTCTTTCACACACACACACATACATACACACACACGTCAAACACCAAGGAAATCAGAATAGTCACTTTTCAAACAGAAAGACTTTGTAGGTCATTAAGCATCAAAGCAAAATCTCATGAAAACAACTAAGGGTTGACAAAATAAGGCCCCAAACTAAAATAACTTCACTTCCTCTGAAATCTCAATACATCCAGATTTCTCTGATTAATGTGAGGAAATAAGCTCAGTGAGCAAAATATTTACCATCTTCCTGGTGACAGTCACTTGACATCTCCCTTCTTGCCATTTGCTGCTTCTAAAAGGAGGTTGAAAATTTAGGTACAAATGAGCCATGAGAATTTAGATGTAAGCTTATTAGACCAAGCATTCAGACTATTCCCCTATTAATTGAGGAAGCCCATCCTCACAATCTAGGGAAACAGATCTTCAATCTGATCCTGGGTTGAGAGATTCAAGCCTACAAAACAGTTGTACTACAGGGATGTGAGAATTGCTTGGAACTCTTTGAAAATGAAAACACATCCTTAGAAAGTAAAACTCATTGGTGTGAAGTCAGGTCCAACTCAGTGCAACCCTCTATCAAGTTTCCGAGATTCTTAGTGGGAGCAGATGGCCCATCTTTCTCCTGAGGAGAAATCAAACTGTTGCTATAAAAGCCAAAATATTAGGTATAAAATATGTCAAAGTTCTATGTATAACTTTATATGCTTATTTGATAATAGGTTCATAGGAGGGAGGAACAGAAGCAACTGAAATTAGTCTTTTCCTTCCTTTTCCTAAAAGGGTCTCAAATGCTTTTCCCAACCAACTCCTCTTCATAAATAACTTAGAGTCCACTACATTTAATTATTGACCAGTCAACACAACAGCCTGGAAAATGAAAATGTTACCTGTGTGCCCATCGCGAAAGCGTCTAACTTTTGATCTGGTATATTGTTGCCTTGGGTTACAGGAGTACTTATCAGGGAATCCTTTATTTCCCCACTGGGGAGGGGAATAAAAAGTCCTTTGTTTGAATCTGTGTTAAAAGAAAAAGCATACAATGAAGCACTGACGAGAATTCAAAGACAACATGCTTTATGGAAAGATACTGGAAAGGAAATCTTAAAATGGAAATCTAGTTTGAGTACAGCCACTTTGAAACCATGTGAAATTAGGCAAATCAGTACGTTATTCTAAACTCAGTTCATTTGTATTCAGATTTGCAAAACAGTATTTGTGGATTAAATTGTGGTCCTCTCCAAACACGTGAGGGAATCTCAACTCCTGTACTAGTGGGTATAATCTTTTTGGAAATTTCATTTTTGTTCTTACATTAACTAGATCATATTCAAGTAAGGTTGATTCTCATTCTAAATCTAATCGCTTCTGAGTTACAGAAAGAGCAGATTACACACAGACCCAGGCATGCAGACACACAGGGAAGACAGATAATACCTAACTACGGAGGCAGATAAACATACTAGTCCAGGACTATGAATATTTGAAGCAGGCAAGAAAAGACATTTTTCTTGAATTTGGACATTAAGCCTTCTGAAGTGTGAGAAAATTAATTTCTATTTGTAAAACCATTCACTTGTATTATTGTTACAACAACGTTACTCCACTATACTACAACACAACACAACACAATACAATAAAATACACAATGATAAAAACTCGGGTTGAAGTGAAGCTACAAGATAATGGGTAAGAAAGGGCTTCATAAATTATCAAGTGCTCAATATATAAATTAAGAAGAAGGGAAATATTTTTCACATTTCTTAAGAGAATACAAGATGAACTTTTACACCAACCCAGCAATTTCTGGCTGCAGATGTGGGAAATACATTCCTGGGCTTCCACATCTCCATGCCTCTAGTGAGCTGTATGCACTGATTTATCATTGCAAACCAGCCTCTTTCTGCCTAAATTTCTTTATTCAGAAAAATAAAAGAACAATTAGGCCTATTTCCTAGAGAAGAATGTTAAATCTTTAGGCATTCTGGCATTTCGGTCTATAACTAGAGAAACAACTTTAAAATAAAATCTGGGCAGGGGAGGGCTGGACAGGGAGAGAAGTGCAGCAATGAATGAATGGAAATCCAAAATCTGTAAATGTTCATTAAAATTATTACAAAATATATATATAAATAAAATAAAAATCTTAAAGAAAAGAAAATAAATCCCATTTCTGGTAGGGAGCGCTGGCGGCCTAGTGGCAAGAAGCTGTGCCACAATCTCGAAGGCACACGGTTTGAATCAACAGCTGCTTCACGGGAAAAGGATGGGCAATCTCCTCTCATGCAATTAACTCTCTCTGAAAACCAACCTGAGGGTCAGCTATGGGTCGGTTCCAACTCCAACTCAATGGTATACAACAATAATCCTATTTCTGGCTATGCCAGAAACTGTTACCAAGAAGAACCAGCTAGTCATTATGTTAGGGTGTAAAATTTGTATAAAAGTAACTGTGGGTTTCAATAAATATTTATTAATTATATAATTTTTTTGTGAGCAAAATGTCTATTTAGAATTAGCCTGCTGGACTGTTTGGATGACACCAATTTTGTTGGCAACATCCAAAGCATCACAGTCAGGAGCAAGTCGAACATAGGCCTTCTTCTCCCCATCAGGCCTAATCAAAGTGTTGACCTTAGCCACATCAATGTCATAGAGCTTCTTTACAGCTTGTTTAATTTGGTACTTGTTGGCCTTGACATCCACAATGAACACAAGTGTGTTATTATCTTCTGTCTTCTTCATGGCTGACTCAGTGGTCGGGGGAAATTTGATGATGGCATAGTGGTCAAGCTTGTTTCTCCGGGGGGCGCTCTTCCAGGGGTATTTGGGCTGCCGTCGGAGTCTCAGCGCCTTAGGCCGCCAGAAGGTGGGTGACGTGATCTTTTTTTTTTTTTTGGCTGTGGATGCCCTTCAGGATCGCCTTGTTGGCCTTCAATGCCTTTACTTTGGCTTCAGTTTTGGGAGACGCAGGGGCTTCCTTCTTCGCTTTTGGCACCATCTTTGTAGAAAGGCTAATTATATAATTCTGAGAGTTGAGGTCTCCTGGTTAAATCTTCTGAAAGATTAGATAAGAGTAAGAAGTTTGCTTTGCTTCAGGGAAGATTTTTCTACCGTAACTGTGTAAGAGTTAAGGCAAAGTGTTAAAAACTTGGACCTCAGTCAAACAACGTGCTCGGCTGCTAGCTCTCATCTGCTTGCTTTGGCAACCAAAAGCTGCTGTGAGTACAACCGAGAATTCAAAGGGGAAAAAGCCAACCTCTCAGGACCCAGCCCCCTCAATCCATGTGGGGCTCCAAAACATTTCATGCTTCCGAGTTGCCTACTGGGACTAAAGCATTCTACTTAAGTACAAGCTGCTCATCTGCCTGGGACCATTATACTTGACAAAACCACTTTTTCAAAGTGGCACGTGCTCTCAAACCTTGTGTTCTTGTCACCTTCTCAGTAGCACCACAAAAACACAAGATGGAAGAGAAATTGCTGGTTATAATTTCTCAGTAAAAAGGGAGAATTCCAGGAAATGGTGACTTTGGGTTCAAGGCTCCTCTCATCATTACCTTATAAAACAGCACCTCTATCTGCTCCCTCCCACTTTCCTCCCACTGAACTGGGGTTCTTTTCCAGGTTCATGGGTCCTTTGTTTCCGGTCAACCTCTTGGTTCAAGGTTCAAACTCTTTACTGAGGCTTTCAGACTCAGTTTCGGTGTGATCTCCATGGTTTCAGATTTCTTGTTCTTAGGTGATATTGAGTCATCTGTGACTCTTAGCTACCCTGGGAACAAAAGATCTGACCTCTGCCCTACTCTCACCATCTCGGC